TCCAAAATAAAGAAAAAATGCTCAAACTAGTCAGTAGGCCTGGTAGTATATCTGTAAAGAAAGAGACGTGTTTCTTTCTCCACAGTTTCTGCCTGACCTGCTGAATATTTACAACATTTTCTGCCTTTATTCTACAACCATGTCTGACAAGCTAGACTAATAGCTTCCAGAAAGGACATCAGTAAAGCAATTAGATTTACAACAATCTAGCACATTTTATGATCATTTTTTCTTGTGGTTACCACATCATCAGTATAATTAAACTCAGTTTCATAACTCAGTATGGTATTGGAACTTTGAACCTCTAGGATGCTAGTCTAGTACTACAGTCATTCCTCTTGATTACATCTAGAATGCTTTACATTTGGCATACCACATTGAGATGTATGTAGGCTGTATTCCATACATGAATCCTCTCATTCAGAAAATGAATTGAATAGAAGTAGGGTCTTTAGACCCTTGAGCCTGTTCCTCCATTTAGTGTGATCATTGTTGATCCTTGACTTAACTGTAATACATGGGCTTTATTTAATAGGACGTTATAATTCCCACCCCACCCTAAAAATAGCCCCTAAAATGCCATGGGAGCTTGCCCACATCCAGTGGCTGCCTGGCACCCAATGCTAGAAGTAACATTTAGTGGTTAGATGGGGGGCACCTGCCCCTGTCTCGGGAGGAGATCTTAGCGAATTGTCAGTAAGAAGCCCAAGTCCCGGTTTGCCAGCACCAAGTCGGCAGACCCCAGTGAGGGGAATGAGAGGCTGGGTTTGAGATGCAAAGATGGAGATTTAAAGCACTGGGAGGAGACTTTGGGGGTGTGTGTAAGTGGGGAAGCATGGGGGTGTGTGGCATTGCCTCCTATGAGGCAAATGAGTCCAAAAAGGAGGTTCCCCTCCTTTACCTGGCACTAGCCTGCAGCGATACACAGCTGCTGGGCTTCCCAACGGATGTATGTCTACCCTACTGTGAATATAACACATGTGGCTGCAGTGTGAAAACCTTAAATAGCCAGTAATTCATCAATTAAGGCCCACATGGCTCCTCCCATCCCACATTAATTGAAGTATGACAAGAGTGGATGGGTTGCTGGCAGGCATGGAGCCCAATGAAGTTTTTCCTGCCCCCTGCCTTTAATCCAGCCCAAAAATCCATCTTTGACCAATACCCTTTGCTTATCAAAAATCATTCCATCTCAATTTTAAAATGAACAACTGATCTAACATCAATTGCCAAATTCTTTGTATGTAGAAGTCTTTCCTTGAGTTCACTCTTGAAAGGCCTGGCAATAATTTTTTGACTACTCCACTTAGTTCTCAACTCCCCAACCAAGAGAAATAGTTCCCCTTTGTCCACCCTATCTGTTCATTTTAATATCATAAAAACATGGATTAAGTCACTTCTTAACCTTGTAAATTCCATGGAATATAACCTGTAGTTTGGGTAATTTATCCTTATTTAACCCTTCAATCTCAGTATCACTTCAGTAGATCAATGCTGCACTCCCTTCAAATCTGATATATCCTTCGTCTGGTGTGGCACCCAGCCCTGCTGACAGCACACAAAATCCGATCTAGCTAGAGTTTTGTTTAACTAAAGCATGACTTCTACCCTCTTGTATTCATGAATTCTTGATGAAAGAGGACAGCATTTTATTGTCTTTTTCCCTTATTTTCTGTAGCATGTTTTGCGATCAGTGTACCTGAACTCCCGAGTCTATTGACCATCCATTGCTTCTAGGTTTTTCCCATTTACAGAGTGCCCTGTTTTATTCTTTTCAGATTCAAGTGGATGACTTCTCATTCGCTTCCAAGAAATACACTTGCCACAGTTTTGTCCATTACCAGAAATCCAAAATTCCTTCATAATGCCTCTGTTCCATCCATATTGCTTATAGTCCCAACAAAGTTTGTATCATCTGAAATTTTGGATATATAATCTTTGTCCCACTAGCTAAAAATGGCAGATCCTTTGCAGGAAGGAGGCAATTGGGTGGCAATGGCCTAGTGGTATTATGCTGGACCGTTAATCCAGAGACCCAGATAATGTACCGGGAACCCGAGTTGGAATGGCCCCATGGCAGATGGTTGAATTTGAATTCAATGAAAATCTAGAATTAAGAGACTAATGATGATCATAAATCCATTGCCGATTGTCAGGAAAAACCCATCTGCTTCACTAATGTCCTTACCTGGTCTGGCTGCATGTAACTCCAGACCCACAGCAATGCAGTGGACTCTTGACTACCCTCTGGGCAATAAATACTACCTGGCCAGCAACACCCTCGTCCGTGAATGAATAAAGAAAATAAGGCATTATGGGGAGCCTTCTATATGTGAGAATAGGCAGGATTGTTAGAGAATGAAGAGGCCAATTCTTGTGCAGGTACTTGAGCAGTTGGGAACAGGAACCCTGGTCTCTGGTGTAAGCAGATCATTTTGTCCATTATCTGCACTTTCCTTCATCAGTCTCATATCCAGTGTTTTCAAACTTCTAGGTTGCCCGAGAGGTTGTTAAGCACCAGCAGTCTCCTTTAGCAGTCTACTCCACCTAATTGGTTGACATTGGCAAACAGGAAAAGCTGTCTTTTCCACTGCCAGTCTTTGAAATATTGGTGAGGTGCACTATGTTTTTCTTACCAGACCATAAAACATTTTTCAGGGCAGTTGATGTTGTCAGAGAATGCATTCAATGTTGTGTAGGTTGGCTTTGTTGAAGACTTCATTGTGATGTTCATAATGGATCAAAGATAATGTTGCTGCAAGTGTAACAGCAATCACATTAGTCTTCTGTGTAGAATCTGCTCCATTTTAATTTATAAACTTTGTTCTTCTGAAATGCTATGTTTTGTTTTATAGCTTTATTATTTAGTGTGCCTATACTTGTACTAAGTAGTAAACACTAGACAAAAATTTCTAAGTACTTGCTGCCTCAACTTGTATGAACCAATGCAGATATTCTAAACCAAAAAGCAATACTTCTTCCCCCTGCCCCCGCTTCATTTATGCTTCACTTTTTTCATGACAAGTCTGCTCATTTTTACTGAAAAGTATTTACTGTATCTGAATCAGTAAGAACTGAAAGAATATATACGCCAGAAGAAAAGTTTGAAAAATGTAATATTTTTCACACTTTGGTTTATTTAAGTATTCATTGATATTGCCACAATTTGTAGTAGTAGGAAGTGTCAGCATTCATTGTTATTACTTCTCCAAAATTGACAGCAGCTTCTGAAGTCCACACAAGAGCAATTAAATATTGAAATCCGAAAGTTGCTGTCAGTGACGCTCTGTGCTAAAATAGTGTCAGACACCAACCAGTGAAGGAAAAGTCCACCCCACATCAATCATGGGCTGCACATGTCATTAACAAGTTGCAATTTGGATTTCCATTTCTCAGAGGAGGAAATTACACCCTCTGGATCTCAGATTGTCTGGCAGTGCTGAAATTCAGAAATGGGTGCTGCCAGAACAAACCGTTGAACTGACAACAACTTGCTGTTGTACACTATTAATTTTGCTTCACAAACCTTTGAACAATGGTATCTTTTTCCACGATCAATGCCTGTGACCTAATGCCATGGTGTTCAAAATTACTGCTAAACAGCCACATTTTCTTGAAGAAATTAATTAATTTTATTTATGGAAAGTCAAATTTCTCCATAATGTTATGAAAAGCCCAACATATTTTATGTTTTTAAGTTGTGAAAGTTGAACTGTCCCTCAGTCCTACAGCTTATGTTGTTGTTACCTGTAATATTGCTAACTTTTAGAAGGAATTTGAATGCCCAATGTCACACAAAAAGATTTTAAACTTGAAGAGGTTTACTGCAACAAAGTAACTATTTTTGTAGGAAACTTATAGTCAAAACTAGAGAAAGAAATCCCTATTTAACATTTAAAATTACCAAAGATCTCTCTCAATAGTTAGTTGTGCTTTACTCTGTTCCTTAAAGAGCCACATTATTCTCTTTAGAAGTAGTTCAAAGTGATTCTTATTTCCTGAGGTCTTGCTTCCCTTGACTTTTTTTTCCAGGACGAATAAGACCAAGCCCTTATATGGATTTTGTTTAGAATTATCCTGAAGATTCCTTCCCCCAGCAAAGGTTAAGAAAATCTTCCAGTCTTGTTAAATGCTGTCAAACTCCATCTCTGCAATCCAAGTGTGGCCACCAATCTGCATTTCTGCATGATGAACCCTTGTGACTTGGAGCGTCTAACCGTCTTCTTTCTCTTTCTCACTTTCTCAGATTCTGATAGACTGATCTGTTTTGAGGCTCAGTCATATTTTAAGAAAACACCCTGAAAGCTAGTTTGACACAGTGGCTTCCAATAGACTTTTTACCTCAAAGTCTACCCCCAGTGCAATGTGAATCATGTTGGTATTGTATCCAAGTAGATATGCTAGTAGTTATCCTTTAAACTTCCACCTTCATTCTATCTTGAAATTAAATGGACAATTAAAAGTGTAATTGTTAACAAAATCTGGCATTCCGAACGCCTTGCTGAGATTTTGCAGACTTGCAGTCTGTCCACCATTCAAGAGATGGTTTGTTCATTATCTTTAGGCGTGTAAAACAACCTGGTCATTTTTAATATCTAGCACCCAAGCCACCCAGGCTTGCTGCCTGTATTCAGAACATATTACATGAGCCCCTTCATTCCTCCATTTTACACGAAATTAAAGACAGTCTTGAAACATAACAATGCCCCAATGATTTATTTTCCTCCCTGTTACTTAACAGTAAAGGATCATTAGTACTTTTAGCTTCTAGTTGCTGTAATTGAGAATACTTCAGAGGACATCTATGCCACAGACACCACTAGATATTTGGAGAAAACTTCCTTTGAGATTAGCCTGAGTGACATCATTTTACTGCTGACTGTGAAATCTGAGCCAAACAATTTTTACAAGTTACAGTCTTTCACATAAGTTTTATCCCTTCATGATCAAGTGTAAATTACACTTAGGATGAGAGTTTGACATTTTTTCTCTTTTTACAGGTGGCTCAGCGTGAAGAAACCATTAAACGTTTGCAAACTGAATCATCTTCATTGAGTTCAGCACAAGAATTGAATGATCAAACAATTACACATAAAAGGCAGATTATTAGAGAGCTACAGCAAGAAAATGATACACTGAAGCAGAAATTGAAAGAAACATTATGCAAGGTTTGGTGAGATTTTGTTTGTTTTACATTAGGTATCACTGTATACTGTTTTAAATCTAACATGTTTGTTTTATTAAGATTTACTTTTTACGATCAAAGGTTTCTGGCATTCTTAAATGACAATATTTGCCAATTTTTGAGTTTACATTTCCTGTCCCATTCTGTTATTTTTGCCACAACTCTAGTGAACAGTTCTGAGAAATTTCCAGGCTTGTATATTTACAGGTTAAGTGAGACTGTTTAAGGAGCTAATGCTCTCTGCCTTAAAATCTGGACTACGTCATTGGTATTTCTGATAAGTTCCTCCAGATTTAGCTGTTAATTATATTTTAAAAGGTTGAATTTTAAGGCAGACATGTCGTCAGGACAATTAGGGCTCAAAATTCTGTTTGACAAACTGTCTCCGTCTACCTGATTAAAACTTGTCCTCAGTAACTCACCTTTTGAAAACTTTATAACAGTTACATGCAGCAACCAGATTTCTAAAGGGAGCTTCACAAATACCCTTTACCTGATCAGTAATCGTTTTGAAACATTTATCATTCATACATTGTGTTGAAAATTGTATATTAGCTTTTGTTTTCCAGTCTATATTTCAAATAAAATGGCTTTTACACAATAAATGGATACAAATAAAAGAGTTCATCACAAATTTTATTTATGTACAGAAGCTGGGTTTCCTGGTGCACTTTTATCTCCCTGTTCGCTTTCTCTGTTCAGTTTTGCAAACCAAACTATTTAAGTTAGAAAGAATAGAGGACAAATGAACATCTTCCTCCCAAAATTATTGTTCCTAGCTCAGTTGGAATTTTTAACAGTAGATTTGATAGATTTTGTTAGGTAAAGGTCATAAGGAGATTGTGAGTAGATGTCTAGATCAGACACTTTCATGACTTGAAATGTACTAGAATTCAAGCCCCTTGTTTTCATTCATCACAAATGTGAAAAGATTTAATCAAAATATCCAAAGTCCCGATTTACCTGGCTAATAAAGTCTTCTGAAATTCAAATATACTATATCCACTCATTCGCCTTTATTCATTCTACTATAATAGATTATTTAAGCATGATTTGACTGCTATAAATGCTTAGTGGCTCTGTCTAATCCAATTAATGTTTTCAAAATGTTTTGTTATCTCATGTCATTGTAAGAGACTCCCACGTTTGCCCTACTACTGATGTTAGGCTAACTGGTCTGTTCATATCTATTTTTTTTAACAACTCCATTCTTTCTTAAACAGTGGGGTTATATTTGCCACCCTCCAATCTATAAAACTTACACCAGATTCCTTAGCATTTTGGAGGATGATCACCAATGCATCCATTTCCAGGACCACTTCCTTTCGTACTCTGGGATATTGGTTAATAGACTCGAGTGATTTGTCAGCATTTAACTCCATTAATTTCCCTAGTACTATTTTCTTATGAAGACTGATTTTCTTCAATCTCGCCCTCACGTTACATCTTAGGTGCCCGAACATTTCTGAGAAGTTCTTCTGAATTCAGAACCAAAGTATGTGTGCAATTCTACTGCCAATTATTTGTTCCCCATTACAATACTTTGGCTGAGGAAGGGTCACTGGATCCGAAACATTATCTCTGATTTCTCTTCACAGATGCTGCCAGACCTGCTGAGGTTTTTGTTTCTGATTTACAGCATTCGCAGTTCTCTCAGTTTTTATATAATATTTTGGCTACTGACTGTAAGGACCTACATTTGTCTTTTCTAATATTTTTATCTTCACATATTCATAGAAGCATTTACATCAGTTTTTATGTTCCCCGCAATTTTACTATTGTCTGTTATACCCCTTGATCAAATGTTTTGTCCTCTTGTGTTTAATTCTAAAATGCTCCCACTTCTCAGACTTGCTACTTTTTCTTGAAACTTTATATGTCGCCACTTTGGGTCTAATACTGTCCTTAATTTCTTTTATAGGCCATGCTTGAACCACCTTACTGATAAAATATTGAATAAAATGTACTTATATTAGTTTTTATAAGGATACTAATCACTTACTTGCATTAGTGTTATCATTTTTAAATAACTAGATGAAGTGTTAACATACTACTTATTTGACATTTGTGTTGCAAGATGATGCATTGTATTTATATGACCATATGTATAGGTTTTCCATTTTCTTAAAGGGGTAAGTGTTTTGATCTCAGAATAGAAACATTGCTCAGATGTTTGCTGTGCTTAGAAAAGGTAATCAGCGATTTAGCAAGTGGAAATCTCTTGCAAGTAGAAGGTTGTTGGAAGGATTCATATCCTTGAAATTGCAATCTTACGTATTGGTGCTCAGTGGAGTATTGCTTTATTTGTGTATAAAGTCTAACTAATGCTAAATAGAAACCTTTATAAAACAAATGAAGAAAATATGTTCCTTTTTAGCTAAACGAAAGTGAAGAACAAGTTTACACTCTGAACTTGGAAACAAATATATTGAAGATAAGACTGGTGGAAAAGACTGATCTTGCTCAAAGCCTGGAAGAACAAGTTCTCAAACAGCATAAGTCCTTAAACAGGGTGAATGAAACTCTTAGGAATACTAAGAAGGCAGCTGGTAATAAGGTAAAAACAATCTAATACAAAAGTATTGCATCTCCATATGAAGGCAGGGATTCTGATTTTTGAAACATTAAGGACGATCTGTTTCTGAGTATAGTGGGGAATATTCCCCAATTTCCTGAATGAGTATGGTTCCAGCAACCCTCTCGAAGCACAATGACATTCAGGCCAAAGCATCCTGCTTGATTGGCACCCTTTCCAAATGTTATGGACCAGACCAAATCGCCTCAAAATATTTTCAGCAGATGGCCTAGACCCCAACTTTTTCTTATTTTTAAAGTTAAGTGTAAGGCGTTATGTAGCGGATACAATTTGATTGGTCAAACTACCAGGCTGGAAGCAAAATGCAATTTTTTTTTTACCCTATAGTTAAAATACAAACAAAAGAAAGAAGAATTGGAATAACTAAACTCTTTTGGAAAATTTAACAGAATAATGGATTTTTAACGACTGAACAGCAAATGTTCCAATATAGTAGCATTCCATAAACACACCCTTGGCAAAGGCAAATTTTGTAAAACAGATTGACTCAAATTGATTCTGGCAGCAGGAAGAGAATCCAAGTTTTTAGCTGTTAGAGAGTGGAATAACACTGAGTAGCAGCAATGTGCACTGCATTCAAGATGCACGGCAGCAAATTGCCAAGGGTCCTATGACAGCACCTTCCAAATCTACAATGCCTACCACCTAAAAGTGTAGGCAGTTCAGGCACATATGTACATTTGCAAGTTTCCCTCCAAGTCACAAACCTTCATGACTTGGAAACACATTCCCAGTCGTTCAAAGTCACAGATCGAATTTTAGAAATTACTCTTTAACAGTGTGTAGTACAAAAACTGCAGTGTTTTAGGAAGGCAGCTTACCACCTCCTTCTTAGGACAGTTTGGAATGGGAAATAAATGCTGACTGGTCCAGCAATGCTCATGTCCCATGAATAAATTAAAATAAATTAAATGAAAAAACAATTGTTGGCATTATTGATTTAAGATCTATAACCCTAGCAAACAATATATATGAAACTGAGACTCTTTTTTTCAGTTGTCCAATGTATATTGTATGACCAACAATAATTTCAGTGATCTCCTGTTCTCAGCAGAGCATCTCATTGAAGAGAGTGTTCATTGAAAAGAGAGCTGTTTCTTTCTAACTGTAGCCTCAACACTTCCTCCTGTGCTGGCTTTTATTATGGCTGCCTTCATGGAGGATGAACTACCCATGCTTTTCAAAAAAGACTTTAAAGTAATTAGTATGTATGTATTATACAATAAATAACAAAGTCTCTTTTTGGCTTTTTTGAATGTGGCTTTGATGTTTCATTTTTGGGAGTAATTTTTTTACTTTTTTCTCCCACTATTGACTGTACTTTCATTGTGGTCAAGCTAAGAAGTTCTATAATAACAATTAGAAAATTGGTACACCTCATGCAATTACACACGGGAGAAGGAATAAAATTTAACTTCAGTGTAAAATAGGAGGATAGCAGATGAGCTGCCTTTATACACCCCACATGTTTTTGCTTTTGATTGAATTAAGAGATGACATGGCCCACAGTGACTCCTTTTCTATCCCCTACCCTAAAGACTTCTTTCCTCTATCCCCTTATTTCTATTGTTTCCGTTACAAATTTAACTTCACACAATTGATTCATATACCGTTGTATACCTATTTGCTATATCTTCTCGCCTACATCTAGGTTAAAACCTACCTATTTTTTTGGACAATCGAGATACATGCCCTGTATTCTTTACATCTCCTTCCCCTCTTGTCATTCGCTTGACCTCTTTTCTTACATCAACTTTACTTTTTATATCACCTGTCCTGAGAGGCCAAAGGTTCCTCCAAAACAATTCCCTTCTCCCTATCCTTTGCTTTTCATATTTGCCTCAAATGATGAATGACACTGTTTCCAATATTTTCTGACTCTTCCCTTTTTGAGTTTTTTTTTCAGTTGGAAGGAATTAGGAAAAGAGACAAGTTTGTAGGTCTCGGAGAGAAAGATTTTTGAGGGTAGATTTCAGGTTGATGACTGAGAAACTTTCTATGCTGTGCAAAAATGATCTCTAGTAATTTTCAACTACCATATATTGTCCGATATCTGTGTTCATTAATTAAACAAAATATGTACCTTAAAAAATCTACCTCAGAAATTATTATTTGGTACTGTTGGTATCTTAAATTATTTATTTAGTGAGCAACCATTCTGGCATGAAAACCAGTGAGGTGTGGAACCTGATTCTGCAACAAAGGAAATGAAGTTAGTTAAACTTCTTAAAGATTGAGGGTGCTTAGCCCAAAGTTATCACTTTTGGAGAGCCAGAGCAGAATACTAGTGAATCAAAACCAGGGAAATCTGAACAAAAGGAAAGACAATCCAAATCAATAGTTAGATTTCAATAAAGAAAAAGATACATTAATTTTAAAATGTGCTAATCACAAAATTTTAAATCATTAACTATAATGCTCAGTCAATATATTTACCAACATAAACATGATTATAGTACACAGCTGCCCATCCACAGACAAATTCTCTAAATTTAACCTCTTGTCCATTTAGTTTTAGCTGATTTCAGGCATGGTGGCATTTGGCTTTGGATATGTTGAGGAGAGAATGATTGGCTGAAAATATTTTTCTTGCATATCTCTGCCTTCTGCCCAACATTCTTCTGTAAATCTTTTGTGAGGACGTAATTGGATTAAATTGTGATATTTTCTAGTATCACATCATCACTGCAATGTAGAGTAGCTAGTGCCTTGGAATCATATCCTAAAAATGCATGAGGGAATGGAGAAAATTAACAAAGGAAAACAAAATTGAAGATTCTTTAATTTGTGATTTTTGTAATATAAGGAAATGTTTACTGTGTTATTAAAGCTTGGTTCAAATGTCGAGTTGGATTTTGTGCTTCACAGCTAGCAGATTTGAAGGCAGAGAACATGTAAAGCCTCATAGGTAGGCTTCCCATCGTCTGTATGCCTGCTCCCAAACTGTCTGAAATCTAGCAGGCTTTGGGTGACCCTGTAGCCCTTGGGCCAATTAATGGCCATTCAAGGGCTTTATTCCAGTCTTGCAACTTTAGCTCCAAGGACTGGTGTTCGGCAGAGTTGGGAGGGGGAGTGGGTGGTGCTGACCCTTTGCTGGCCCCAGGCTGTCTGGAGGCCATCCCACAGAAAATCATTCCACCTCTTTAAGATTCCACACAGTTTATTCAACTTATTCTCCCCCCTGATTTGTTATCCTTACCTCTCAAACAGCCTCATCAAAACCTTCAACCCTGGTGAGACTACCAGTAGCCCCAGCCGTTGTCAACTTTCTCCTGCTGGTACTGATGGAACCATAGTGCTGCTGGCCAATCTGATTGGCTTACTGGTGTCTGGGCAGTGTTGCATCCTAAAATTGAGGAAAGAATGTTGTCTTGAAGAAATTAATACTGTTCCAAGTGTAAGATTGCTGCAGAACAGCTGTCATGATTGTGGATAGGCCCCGACTGGACTTTATAGGGAAAATTCAAACCAATGATTTATGCTAGTGTTGGTGACAGAGCTAAGTGAAGTCAATAAATAATGCTTTAAGTTAAAAGTCATCACATCCAAATAATTTGTATTTTAAAAAATAACATTGGGACAAAGGTGAAACAGACAATGTTGAATTATAGCCCTTTGCCAATTAAACTAGGTGGTTCTTTTTGCCTAAAACCATGTAGCCTTTGAGAGCGGTGTTCAAGAAATGTATTACGTAGGGAATTAAGCAACGTTTGCCTCAGACTGATGAAGTAACAATACATGAAAGAAAAATTGGAGGCATTGTTATTCTATTGAAGTTATTGCTGCTTAGTTGAGAGGTGACCGGGTTGGGATATTATGTCGAAGTACGCTTGGTGAGCTGTTTCAATAGACTGGATTAAACACAACAGTCAGTGATGGTGGGAGCATAGGAATTGGAGTCGGACATTCAGCCCCTCAAGCCTGTTCTACCATTCAGTGAGATCCTGGCTGATCTCTGACTTACTCCATGCACCTGTCTTTGGTACATATCCCTTAATGCCTTTGCTTAACAAAATTTATCGATCTCAGATTTTAATTTAACAACTGATCCTGCATTCACTGCCTTTTATGAAAGAGAGTTCTGAACATCTACCACCTTTTGTGGATAAAAGTGCTTCCTGACTTTACTTATCACTTTGTTTAAGTAGACTATTTTATATAAAATTGCCTTGTTTCCTCCCTTTCAATTTTTGTAATCATTAAAACATGTATTGGATTTCTCCAAATTATCTAGGCTTTTTCTGAACTTTTTTTTGTGTTTTTATTTTCTAATTTCTTTACTAAAAACAAAATGGAGAGGAACAGATTATGTAAAAAAATGCAAACTGGCTTTATAAATTGTTATATGCATAGCTTTTGCTTGACTTTCTCATTGAATTGACAGTGAGAGCTCCAACGCATAAGGGAAGGACCATACTGTCCATAGGATTTTTTTTATTAGTGGATGAGTTAGGCTAGGATATTACTGGCACTGGGTGGCAGGCTTAGGAAAGCTATAGTTCTGTGGGGCCATCCAATGAGGGCATGCTGGTCAGTCTGGCTGTCAGGCCATTTTTCCATAATTAGTATTATTAAAGGAACAATTGACATTTTTCTAGGCTCCTGGTAATTTGTTGGCAGAGAGGTGTCTACCGACCACACCTTCAATAAATGGCAAATAAGGCAGTCTCCTGAGGGTGAAACACCTTTGAGCCCAAGGCTTCACAACCCAACAAGGGGACCCCTGCTACCACCAATTGTGCCTTGGACCCTGCTGCCACCGCTAGAGGGATTCCTATCTAATTGTTGGGATGACCCTGCTTGGCCCCAACATAGGAATGAATTTACTTCTTCCTTTGCCTTCTAATGGAGGCACCATCTCATTCTCCTGACAACCTAAAAAGTAGTCACCTCAGTAGATTTACCAGCCCGCTGTGTTGCTAGTGAGAGATCTAGGCTGCAGTTTTCAATTGAGGGTAAGCCTGGCAGCAGACTCGGAATTGGACTTCGTCTAGTCCTGTTGGCTAATGCACCTGGGCGTGGCATCCGCATTTGGTCATAACACCAGCATTGTCCAATCCTGGGAAAATCATAACCTTCATCTTTAAATAAAACAAATATCTCAATAAAGCACTTGTTGATCAGCCACCGTTCCCAATCTCACTCATATAGAGTCATAGAGATATATAACACAGAAACAGAACCTTCGGTCCAACTGGTCCATGCCAACAAGGTATCCTGAATAAATCTAGTCCCATTTGCCAGCATTTGACCCATATCCCTCTAAACCCTTGCTATTCATATAGCCATCCAGATACCTTTTAAATGTTGTAATTGTACCAGCCTCCACCACTTCCTCTGGCAGCTCATTCCATACACGCACCACCCTCTGCATGAAAAAGTTGCCCTTTAAGTCCCTTTTAAATCTTTCCCCTCTCACCTTAAACCTATGCCCTCTAGTTTTGGACTCCCCCACTCCGGGGAAAAGACCTTGGCTATTTACTCTATCCACACCCCTCATGATTTTATAAACCTCTACAAGGTCACCCTTTAGCCTCTTACGCTCCAGGGAAAATAGCCCCAGTTTATTCAGCCTCTCCCTATAGTTCAAACCCTCAAACCCTCCAACCCTAGCAACATTCTTACAAATCTTTTCTGAACTCTTTCAGGTTTCACAGCATTTTTCCTATAGCAGGGAGACCAGAATTGCATGCAGTTTTCCAATAGTGGCCTAACCACTGTCCTGTACAGCTGCAACATGACCTCCCAATTCAATGCACCGACCAATAAAGGCAAGGATACCAAACGCCTTCTTCGTTATCCTATCTACCTGGGACTCCACTTTCAAGGAACCATTAACCTGCACCCCAAGGTCTCTTTGTTCAGCAACACTCCTGAGGACCTTACCATGAAGTGTATAAGTCCTGCCCTGATTTTGCCAAGCCAAAATGCAGCATCTCACATTTATCTAAATTGAACTCCATCTGACACTCCTCTGCCCATTGGCTCATCTGATCAAGATCCCATTGTACACTAAGGTAACCTTCTTCGCTGTCCACTACACCTCCAATTTTGGTGTCATCTGCAAACTTACTAACCGTATCTCCTACATTCACATCCAAATAATTTATATAAAATGACAAAAAGCAGTGGACCCAGCATGGATCCTTGTGGCACACCACTGGTCACAAGCTTCCAGTCTGAAGAGCAACCCTTCACCTCCACCCTCTCTCTTCTACCTTCGAGCCAGTTCTGTATCCAAATAGCTAGTTCCCCCTCAATTCAGTATGATCTAACCTTGCTAACCAGTCTACTATGAGGAACCTTGTTGAACGCCTTACTGAAGTCCATATAAATCACGACCATCGCTCTGTTTTCGTCAATCTACTTCACTGTTTCTTCAAAAAACTCAATCAAGTTAGTGAGACACTATTTCTCATGCACAAAGCCATGTCAAATTAGTCAAATTATGACTTATCACCAACTTAATGAACTATGGTTACCTGTGATTCCACTTTTGCGGTGGGGCCCTGACTCTTGGCTTCAATTTATCATGTTTTAAAAATAAACCTTACAAATTGTAAGACAAAACAAAAGCAAGCAAAAGCCACCTCTTCCGCTCTGTACCTAATTCCCACATTGCCTCCAAATTCCTCAAAATATATACTCACTGGGGCTGTGTCTCATTTTGGATGTGATCCCTCCTTCCTGACCTTGCAAAGCTTATCTTATTGAAACTTAGAATATAAGAAAAGACTGCCAGGTTGATTGCTGAAAGAATGCTTCCTCTTCAGGGAGAGGGCTTGCCGACTAAAGACAGATAAAGAATTTCTTTCTCTTTCAGAGGTTTGAGATTCTATGGAGTATTCTTCTTCAGAGAGCAATGAAGGGAGGGTCAGTGAATATTTTCACGACAAAGGAAGATAGATGCATGACTATTAGGCACGAAACTGGAATTCAGGCCACAGTCAAATCAACCGTAATCATGGAGCAAGATTCGGCCAGTAGGCCCTTTGACCCTGCTCCCAATTTATATATCCTCGTAACCAAAGTCCTTGATCCCTGGAAGTATTCTCATTTAGGATTGCATCCTCTGGTATCTATTGCCTTACCTTGTTCTTGTTCTTGATGCAAAAATGCATCACTTCACTCGTCCATGCATTAAAATCCATTTGTCACGTGTCCATCCCTTCCATTTCTTGAAAACTAACTCCATGCTTCTCATAATTCTCAAAACTGCCAAGTTTTGTGCTAGTCCATCAATTTAATACTTCCCTGTGAATCCAAGACTAGCTTATTAATATACATCGTGAAACAGTATCCTTGGTAGAAAATTCCTTTGTACATCTTACTCCATAAAAACCAAAAGGACTGTGAATGCTGTAAATCAGGAACAAAAACAGAAGTTGCTGGAAACGCCTAGCAGATCCAGTAGCATCCGTGAACAGAATAGAGCAAGAGCAGGACATTGGGCCCTTTGAGCCTGCTCCATCACACATAAAAGTAAGGTTGAAATAGGTTTTAGAGGAAAATTACAGATGATTCAGAGTCTGACTGTTGTGAACATTTTGACCTTAGCTTTATTGGTATAAAAGTGACATTGTTAAATCTCGTGCTGTATTTGTGATCACAAATTCTTATGCTAATTTGTAAGCATTTCTTTTGCAAATTTTAAAATGTATTTGATATACAATCTCTCCTGAATATTATCCTTGTTTTAAAATGCAATGAAAGTTTTCAATTTTCTTCATTAAAATATGTTTGGATTCTATAAAATAGAACGGAGGAGTCACCCCTCATTTCTGTCATGGTTTATTGAAGACAAAATGTGTTTTCATTTTGTGTTTTATAGTTGTTTATCAAAGAATGGGAAAATACTGTTTTCTTTCACTATATTACTTTCATACCACTGTTTTTCATATAAGGAACATAAATTCTGTTTAGGAAATTGTTTATAAACACATATAATAATTCACTCATATCAAAACTACTTGTAAATGTTCCTTTGCTGTGATTTCCCATCTATTGTGTAAAAGTTTTTACAAGAGAGCTTTCTTTCAAATACAAAGGTTGCAAAATTAGTTTCTAGTGCAGATTATGTTCTTCGGTATAATTTATACATATTCAGTAGATGACCTTGGTGTTTATCTAGGCCGTGAAAGAAATTATTCTGCAGGATCAGATCAAAAATAGTAAATAAAATGACACATTTGAATTTATGTAAATTACAGCCTCAGCACTACTAAAAGATGGTTTGCTATTTAATGAGGGAAGACTTGATGTAATTAATTCTTGATGTACAATTATGAGCACAAAACAGAACATAGCCTCAGTATGATATGGAATGAAAAGGACAGTCTTCAAAAACTTGCATGATGCTCTGTCATCTGAGACTGTACTTCATGAGTCAGGGTGAAGGTCAAAGAGCTATCTTAACTCCATCAATCCTGTGGACAGTTACAAATGACCTTTCACTTTCTATAAGACATTCAATATTCTGAATTGTAGGGATACATTTTTCTGTGTTTAGAAAATGGAGAAATAAAAGCCTCTCATGCTGTTAAAGGTGCAGTTATTGCAGGATCTTCTGAACGGTTCATTCACCCTGTGCACTGATAGAAACTAATATCTAATTTACACCATCTGAGTCACATTCTGAAAAATTGCATTTCGTCAGTTGTGAGTGAAACCATAGGTAAACTTTCAGCATATAGAGTGGGTTATTAGTCACTACATCAGACAGTTCATCATTGTGAATAGAAACATGGAATTTGTGCATTTTTATGTATATCTTGTGTTGAAACATTGGAAAACAAAAATGCAGTCCATTGTTCAGCGCTGAATTATTTTCAATATATGAAAACTGCAGCACTCTACAAGGTATAGCTAGGCCAGATTTTTATAGATTAGCGTGGTAAAAAAACACAAAGGGAAGATTGTACTTGAATTATATTTCTTTGTTTTACAGATTCATCAGAAGGAAAACAAATTGTGTGCTTTGCAAAAAGAGTTAGTGGAGGCTCAAAAGCAATACTCAGCCTGCTATGAGGAGGTAATTATGTTATAAATAAACTTCAGAACCTTTTCTCATGACTTAGTGTTTTTCATGCATCAGTTTACATAATTAAGTATCTTTTGTGTTGCCCATCTGGGTAAAATAAGGACATATTATTAATCAATTTTATGATAGCCCAGATTTTGTTAGAGCATGTCATCAGATGGTGTATGTTGTTCAGTAGACTTGTTTACGTATGTTTAGGTTTTCACAATTTTTACTCATTGACTTGTTGGAGCTACAAATGCATAATGGACAGCAAAGGCAGCAGGAGCAACAGGACATCTGGGAAGTTGAAGAAACATGGGGAAACCAGCAACTTGTGAACTGGGGAAATCTGAAATGACGAGGAAGTTGAATTAAAATGATTGAATTCATTGTCAACCACGCAAACAAAGAGGGATGTAGATTGAGAAGGAAAGACAGGATTATAAAGTCATAGAGCCATTCAGCACAGAAACAGACCTTTCAGTCCAATTCATACGCACTGACCAGACATCCCAGCCTGACCTAGTCCCATTTGCCAGCATTTGGCGCATATCCCTCTAAACCCTTCCTATTCATGTACCCATCCAGATGCCTTTTAAATGTTGTAATTGTACCAAACTCCACCACTTCCCCTGGCAACTCATTCCATGCACACACCACCCTCTGCATGAAAAAGTTACCCCCATGTCCTTTTTAAATCTTTCTCCTCTCTCCTTAACCTATGCCCTCTAGTCTTGGACTCCCCACTCCAGGGAAAAGACCTTGGCTATTCACCGTATCTATGCCCCTCATGATTTTATAAACCTCTTTAAGGTTACCCCTCAGCCTCTGATGTTCCAGTGAAAAAGGCCCCAGCCTATTCAGCCTCTCCCTGTAGCTCAAACCCTTCTCTCCTGGCAACATCCTTGTAAATCTTTTCTGCACCCTCTCAAGTTTAACAACATCCTTCCTAATAGAAGAGTGACTACAATTGTATGTAGTATTCTAGAAATGGCCTCATTAATGTGTTGTATAGCCACAACATGATGTCTCAACTCCCGAACTCAATGTTCTGACCAATGAAGGCAAGCATGCCAAATGGCGCCTTCACCGCCCTACCTAACTGTGATTCCTGCCACTTTTAAAGATTAAGAGAAAGTAATTAAAAGTAAGAAAACATAAATTTCAAATATAACATCCTTTAAATTTCCTAAAATGACCTGCAACCCAAAGTAATAAACCTCCACACTTGCAATAATTTTCTGGTCAAGAGTGGTTGATTGTGATTTACATTGATCAGATCATTATTGAGTTACTTATACAGTTAATTACAAGATTTTTGTGCTGAAGTTCATAGACATATTTGGCATGTCTATCAAGGTGCAGAAAATGGATGCAGAGTTAAATAAGTTGACAGAAACAGCTCTCACTGAAGCTGAGGCTAAAGGAGTTCAGGAGTGATATTGTATTAAAGTGAAGTTCTGACAAGGAAGTGGAGATATCCTCACAGACCTTTGGACAAAGAATAGACAGTTAGTGATCAAATAGTGGTACTGCCCAGATATAATAGTGAGATATTGCAGTTGGTGCATGAAATTCCTGTGGCAGGATATATAGGAACATGGAAATGCAAGCATCGCTGAGCAGGTATTTTGTATGGCCGGGACATCATAAAGACTTTGTAGTTCTGTAAAATGTGTCATAAATGTCAGATAGTAGAATAATGTCAGCATGTATTGTATCAAAGGTACTGGTTTAATTACAAGATTTTGAAGAACCATTTATTCGTGTTTATAAATTTATGTAGGAACATTACCAAAAGTAAAAGTAGAACGTTAATGTATCCTTACCATTATGAATCTGATAATCAGATTTCCAGAATCTATTCTGTTAAGGGCTATTTATTTTTAAGGTAATAGTGGAAAAGTTAATTCAAGTTTTGTTTACTTGTTATGGAGTACCAATTGTGGTATAGTATGATCAAAGTTCTAACTTTGTCTAATGTTTTCCTGGAAATCACTAGCAGGCTGAGTATAAAACAATTGAAATCAACTGTTATCAGCTGTAAATACATGGAGCTTTGGAGAAATACATTCAGACTCTCAAACCATGATAATGGCATCAGATCACAAATACTCCCAGGATTGGGAGAAAGGAGTTTTTTTTTTACTATTTGCTATCAGGGATTCTTCAAATGAATCTGCTGTGTTTAGTCCTTTTGAATTGATTCATGGTTATGACAACAGCTGTCCTTTAAAATTGATGAGGACAACTTCTTGAAACAAGAAGATAAATTCTCCAAGCTGCATTACATGTCCATATTTTTAAAAAGAGTCACAGGAGCATGCAGAGTAACACAAGACTGTTTTAAGATTTCAGAAGTGAAAGTGAATGCATGGGCAGACAGACATTCAGCAACAAGAACATTTCACGTGCAAGATGGGGTACTTCTTTCGTTACCTTTGCAAGGTGAACCTTTGAAAATGAAGTTCAATCGTTCATTGAAGATAGTTAGGGTTTGTAAAATGCCTACTCCTGATTGTAGGAAGAAGAATCGTCATGTCACAAACGCATGCTGAAAAGGTGTCTTCATAGGGAAGAGAATAAGGAGGAGCAGATGTGTCAGGTGATAAGTGTACTGCAGGATGAAAGAAACAATAAGCATGAGGTGGTAGGAGAGGTAAACAATTCTCAAAGCAAACCTCCTTTACTTTGATTAGCTAACACAGAAACACTGGGACAGTTAGACACTGAGTTGGCACATTGAAAGTTACTTTCTCCCATCAATTGTTTAAGCTGTTGCCTTTAACTAATAACTAAGAGGCTTTATAGTTAATGTAACAGTCATCATGTGCCTGCTATGAAGTAATGAAAAAAACCTGAAAGGAGACTGAAGAACAGAAAGTTCTGACAAATCAATAGAAACATCTCAATGAACCTTGTGGACTGGTGCTATTGAACTGTGTTTCCCAGACTTCTCCCTCCACCCATAAAACCATAAACACCAACTAGCAACATAAAGACGCAACCAATACTCACTCGTCTCCATACGGACAGACAAGGAGGACCACCAATTCAATTGGGACAACGTCAGGATCCTAGGACAAGCCAAGCAGAGACAGACACAGGAATTCCTGGAGGCCTGGTTCTCCAGCAAGAAGGCCATCAATAAACACATAGAATTAGACCCTATATGCACACTACTGCAAAGAAAAAAAACCGGAAACGAGGTAATCAACTCCAACGGACCCCAGAGTTTAAATAGCAAGCAGGAAAATGCAACAACGCTTCATCGGAGTCTGCACTGATGATGTTACCCAGCAGGGTAATGAAATATCTGCAAACTAATGAACCAACTCGGCAAGCGAACCACCCACAGCATCTACAACCCAAGCTAAAATCTGCTCAAGAATATTAGTATGGAGAATTACCCAATAATCTCCTGTCCATAATAAAAGAGAAATTCAATCTGGTCAATTACTGTCCATCAGCCTCCTTTTCAATAAATAACAAAGTGATGAAAGTGTTGATAGTGCCAGCAGGTGACAATTACACAACAATAAACTGCTCATTGACAGGCTGTTTGGGTCACGACACTTGACCTCATTACAGCCTTTCTTTTACATAGGAGGGGCAGATTCAACCTTCATGGTCCAGAGAGATACCAATGTTGTAGCCAGGACAAGGAAAGAAGTTCTTCACAGCCAGTATGAGAAATATGGGATCAGAAAAAGACATAGAAACTCAAAAGTAATGATCTCAGGCTTATTACCTGATACAGGTGCAAATTGGCATCGGGCAAATAAGATTAGAAAAATGAATGCTCTTCTAAGCAGCTAAGACCAGTGGAGTAGAAAGGTTTCTGGTTCATGGGACAATGGTACTAGTCATGAGCTGCATAACTAGGGCAGTATAGAAGGTCTAAAATAGTGGGGTCAATGGCCAAAGTTAGAAATATGTGGTGACTCAGACAAACAAGGAGGAAAGGTATTAATGTGTGAAATTATACTCAGACCATAACAAGAAGAGATAGAGAGTAAAAATCTAGAAGTAAATCAACAAATAAAGATAGTTTACATAGAAGGCCAGATGGGCTTTGTATCTGAATGTAGAAACATAGAAAATAAGTGCAGGAGTGGCCATTCAGCTCTTTGAGCCTGCACCACCATTCAGTATGATCATGGCTGATCATGCAATCTCAGTATCCCATTTCCACCTTCTCCCCATACCCCTTGATCCCTTTAGTTGCAAGGGCCACGTCTAGCTCCCTCTTGAATATATCTATTAAACTGACCCCAACAGCTTCTTGTGGTAGAGAATTCCACAGGTTCACAACTCTAATCCTGAATGGCTTACCCCTAATTCTTAGACTTTGACCCTTTTGTTTTGCACTTCCCCAGCATTGGGAACATTCTTCCCATGTCAACATTCTTCTCATGTCTAACCTGTCCAGTCCCATCAGGATTTTACATGTACATAGTGCCTGAAACAAAGCAGGTGAACTCATAGCACAAATTGAAATGAATAAGTGCAATCTGGTAGCCGTTACAGAGACACGGATGCAGGGTGACGTAGATTGGAAGTGAAAATTGAGGGGTACACGACATTGAGGAAGGATAGGAAGCTAGGGAAAGGTGGAAGTGACAATTAGACCATAACATAAAGCAGCTGTATTGGCCCATTTAGCCCATCGAGTCTGCTCCACTATTCAATCATAACTGATGTATTTCTCAATCCCATTCTCCTGCCTTCTCCCAGTAACTCTGGATCCCCTTACCAATGAAGAATCTATCTATCCCTGACTTTAATACACCAAATGACTTGGCCTCCACAGCCCTTTACAGCAATGCGTTCCTCTGAGTCACCACACTGTGGCCGATGAAATTCCTCTTCATCTCGGTGCTAAAACATTGTCTCTTCAATCTGAGGCTGTGCCCTTATGATCTAGTCTTTCCTACTAATGGAAACATCTTCTCCATGTCCACTCTTTCCAGACCTCTTAGTATTCTCTAAGTTTCAATCACATCCCC